CTGGCGGGGGCCAGCCGATGTACAAGTCAGTGTTTTTATCCTCCCAGACAAGTCTGGTACCAATTAACCGACCCCGGAGGGATGGAAGGCTTGGTTGGCCCGGGCGACTCACGACCCAGGATTTGATCCCGGACCGCTCGCGTGGTAAGCGCGCCACTTGCCACTACACCACTTCCGCCCCAGAAAACAAGACATCAGTGGTAATTTCTTATCAAATCAGAATAATTTGCAATCAAACACACAAGTTGCCTTAGATAACACGCCCATACGATTCTAAGATGGATTGGGAATCATGGCCCAACCCAAGAAAGAAGCTCCACGCTGAACAACGTGCTCATTACGTGTAGAACAGTTCGTGCAATATACCTCTGAGCAGACGGTTGTCACTGCCTGGCGAGAGGTGGCACAACAGTTATTGAACCATTTATTCACACACTTCAATAAACAAATCAAAACCACATCACAGTGAGGTTTTCTTTCGAGATTGCAAAGACCAGCTTGCTCGCTAATATTGTGCACCAGTATTCAGAGAATGTTAAAAATATGAAACTTATGTACAACACGAAATTGATTGTGCACTAAATATTACACTGCCCTCTACCACCTATACAAAACCTAAATACACAAACTTCATCTAAATGCTATCTAAAAACCTACACACACTTAAAATGAAATAATAATCAAGTGACGCAGAATCAATATTCCGCCTCTAGTTTCCAAGAAAACCCCATGAAGGCTCACTAGAGATCTTTAGAATAACTTACTCTAAAGGCGGTGACGCGCCAGCCGCACGTGTTTCTGAAAGCGGGGAGCTGCTTTTCGATTGAGGAGCATGGTCAACACGCCATCCCAACTGCTTACCCGTTGTATATAACGAGTTCAAAACGCTCTCCAAAGTGCCTAAAAAGTTTAGAAATTTTGAAAAGTATTCAACTTGAAATATAAAATCTGCTACTGAAAAGGAATGCTATGAAGGAAATGAGCGTGAAATAGATGCAGAAAAATTGGGTTATAAGCTGTAACATACCATCCTTGCTGAGTTCCTCCCACTTCCTGAAAAGTTTCAATGCGACCCGAGCATCCTCAACGGAGTCGTGGATCCCCACTTGAATCTTTTCGCCTAAAAAAATCATATTGTAGACAGTCATCCACCCAATTTTGTGGAATACAGACTACTGCACAGGGTTAAGCCCGGCTCGAGGAAAACTCTGAGATATGACGAACGAGCAACTCGATTGGAACATGGTTTGGCATAGTGTCACTCCATGTGTTGCGGTTAACTCGCCCATACGTCCACCGTCTTAGCCGCCGCCGTCCATGAGCGAAAATCAACGGCCAAACAAGGGGGTCCCGTTTTGCGTTTTCTTGACGGATTTCTCTGCTTTTTTCGCCATTGGCGTACCATTGAGCACCTCCATGTCTCCTTTAGACCCTTCAGAACCCATCGTATTCTCTGGCTCCAAGTTTTTTAATCCTCAGAAAGTCCGGTTCCAATTAAAGATACCCCAAAGGAATGGAAGGCTAGCTGGCCTGGACGGGTTGCGAAGCAGGATTTGACCAACGGACCGTGCGCATGGTAAGTAGCACCACTTTCCACTAACCCAATTCCGCCCACCAAATCTTATATTACTTTGCCGGATGATTCTGTCATCCTGTTTTAGGTACTGCATCATTCGGGATCAATCTCATCAAAAAATCTTTTGAATGGCTAAAAATCGGTTTTAATTGAGGCATTCTGTTCTTACAAGAGCAAACGCTCTATGGCGGAGTAAATGACATTAACTAACCAAGTAGATGCCATGCAAGAAACTGTAACGAGAAAAGACGTTGCTGTGGTACACGGAATAACTCCACGGTATCAATCATCTGTTTCGCCGGCACCTGAACCAACAGCAATTAAAACAAATTTTCATACCGACAAGGTTGTGAATAAGTTGGAAGCATTAAAAAGTTTGAGGGGATATAGCATAATTTTAAAAAACTAACATGAATGTTCAGCGTAGAGAAGTCGTTGACTAGCGCATGGCCCACAAAAATGCAGCCTCTCTCAATCAGATGTAATACTTTCATGTAGACGCGTTTCAAAGTTGTGAGATGTTTTGTTGACTTGTTAGGGTCAAGGTCGTCCTCCATTATTCCACTGAAAGAATATGAAATCGGATGAGCAGAGTTGAGATCAGATATACGCTATTACAGCGGTTTGTTTCGTAAGTAATTCAACCACGGTACGTGCAGGTTGAGTATCGTGCAACTTCTAGCAAGGCAATTGTCCAACTAAGCTGAGATTTTTCTAATAATATAATAGGGTTGGAACATAATATCGTAGCACAAGCATTTTTCATTTCTTCACAAACATTTGAAGCAAAAAAATAAAAACATAAAACTAATCAGTGATGTTCACTTCGTCATTATTTACAACTTTGATTGCATTTCGCAGAGATCACCGGATATAGAAAAAAATATTGAGCTCGTTTTCGGAGTCCTTATTATTCTCAATTTGTACGAAATGAATATGGTTTTAATTTGAGCGAAAAAGGTAGGGTCGTTTAGAGCAAGGTTCGATTAGAACAATGGATTCAAAAGAACTTCCAATTTGGCGTTCTTTTTCATTCAAACCGAGGAATTACAGGTGTGGAAAAATCGATTTTCGCAGCCTGCCGACTTCTGAGCTCTATTCTGAGTACAGCTACAATGTTGAAGAAAATGAAACTACGGTTTTGTAGAGCGGTAAGAGTACTTTCAAACAGTATGAGTAGTTTTTCGGGTAATACTGTACTGATTGAATTTATACGCTCGAAAAAAAAACGCTACGATACTATGCTCCAAATTAAGAAAGAAAAAAAATTATAATAACCCAATATTTTCGATTTCCCTACTCACGATCGTGAAGGCCTGTGACACAACAACAAAAAATCTTCCATTGAAATCAATAAATGGTTCTTAAAGCAACTGTTGAATGCAGGACACTCAGAAGCACTAAGGTCTTGATAAGCAAACCAAAAAACCCCTCCCTTAAATTTTCCTTTCTCTCAGTTATGAGGCAGATCAAATACTAATTAGGAGCCAGTTGCTCAACGGTGACCCATCAACAGCGCTGACGCGTCAGGTCGTAAGACATGGGCCATTTCACAAAAGCAAAAAAAAAAGAAAAAACAACACAAAAGAAAGATGTTAATGATCGGCTCAAATCAAACCTGTATTGAGTAAGATAATCATCAACAACATCGCCTTCACAGGTGACCACGTAGTCATCAATAAGGATTTGTTCACCTGTTGAATTGACGCAGCTAACTCTTCCTACTGACTTCCGTCCATGTTCCTGTAGAAAAAGGGCCAACTTTACGCAGTCCCACAGCTAAAATAGCAACGAACGGGTAGAGTAAAAAGTAAGCTTACATTGCCAACGTTGATGAATTCCGCATCAATCCCGACATAGTCGCCTTCACCAGGGATTTCAAGCATCCTCCGCTCTCGGGCTACTTCTTCATTACCAGTAAGATTATTGTCCGTTTGAAAAACCGAGCACGGGATTGGCAATCGGGTTTCAGGAACTGAGTAAGTAATCAGTGATGTCAAATGGAAACTCAAGCAGTAGCAACAATATATTGCGCACGGATATGAACCTTTCATCAAATCGGACTTCTCGTTCGCATAGCAAAGAATCAACGGTAACTTCCATCGAGAATCCATATGGAGCGCTTCATCCTCATGAACACGAGTGACCAGCACATCATCAAAAAGACACCAAGGGCTTTTTCTAAAGCAATCTGTCTCGCAAAAGAATATTTTTTAGTACGAACTTGCTGTAATCGATATTATCCACTGGGCCCATGGCAGCAACACTCCCTAAAACAACATAAGCAAGCCAGAAGCGTCATATCCTAGGGAACTTACGAATCTGCATCGTCCTTGATAAGTGTTACAGAATGAGTCCATTGTCCATTACCATCACCAATGGCTGCTACAATTCCTACCAATTCATAGCGATCGTACTCGCCCTCCATTGGCTTTTCGCTCAAAATTGCCAGTCCGTTAGCTACCTATACAGGGAAATTAAGCAGATCTAGACGAACTACTGAAAGCTTAACTTGCAGAAAGATTAACATACAAAAGAAAGGACTGCAAAACAAAAAAAACTTTGAACAGATACAAAAAGGTCAAAAAACGTCCATTTTTCAAAAAATACAAAACCGAGTAAGAGAATCAAAAACTACCCTGGCATTGAACGCTGGAGTAACAAAATGTTTCCAATCACCACATCCCGTGTCTTCAAAGCCAATGAAGCGCATTCCGATCCCAATTCGTCCGTTACCATCGACGAATATTTGGCAGTACGACCTGAAACTGGTCATTAGCGCTAAGACGTAATACCGGGATATTGGAAAGGTTGGCTCGCAGTATTGACGCCAAGCCTTCAGGATGCTGAACCTTGAAGGCCCTCGTGCGCACTCACTACTGCCACAACCGATTCGCTAGACTCGATTCTTGCGCTTGATAAGACTGTGGTTTTTTAACCTTCCTGGTAGGTGTGCATGGTGCAATTTGAGTGGCCCTCTGATCTTGTGCAATTTGTAACACCCCTCCTCCATGTAGTGAACGCTCATACGCAAAGCCCGGGTATAGAGCTTACGTCTTAGAAGTTTCAGAAAATGAGGGAATAAGGGAAATTGAAAAAGACACGTATTGCTCATGAGGACAAGAACGAGGGAATTTTGGGAAAAGCAGGTCGAGCTGCTGAATGAAACACAACTTGAATGACTCGACCGGAGAGAAGGACATCTCCTGATCTCTTGTTCTACTAGACGATTTTCAATCTCTCATGCTCCTATTCACACTCAATACGTATCTAATCCTTCCAGTGGATTCTTCTGAAACCTTATTCTTTTGGGCGCATCGTTATTGATCAATATGGTTTGCAGAAGCGCGGCGATCAACTCTGTAGTCACGAATCTGGGGTCGTATGCAGCAGTCCGGCAACCCTGTTTTCCTCAGCCTTGAGGTATCATCGGAGCAGGGACACCTCTTCTGAAGAAAGATAGCGTGCGGCCCAGAAGTCTCATGTTGTGTATTTATTTTTTTACTTCAACACAAAGAGAAGCAAATATATTGGAACCTGCCTGTTCCTACACTCCTGTCCATATCGGCATGGTCTTTTTCAGCTCGGCCACCTCCTTCCAGTGAACATTCTTTTTCCGGGATACGGTATCGAGGGCGAGATTCAGACAGCTGAATAAATGACTACATAGCATCGGGACTGCGAATATCCGCAGAAATGGGGGAGGGTTATGATCAAAAATCTCTTCAAAAGAAATTTCTAAAGCATAAAAATAACCTTCAGTTGCTTCTCCCAAAACTCGGTAAACTTTGGACTACCCGGATTCGTGTCGATCAGCAATATTGGTGCAAGCTTCTGGACTCTTCTAGTGTCATCCATGCGAGTCTATACCAAATTCATTACAAAGCGAAAAACTGCCAAAACACCAACATAATTGTAATTTAATCGTCACTTTGAAATAATTGAAAAAATACCATTAGGAATAGAAACGACCAGGTCGCTTCAGAAACAGAAACTTCAATTATGTGAATAACAATGAAACTCACGGTCACTGAACAAGATTCGCATGGCCCTTGACGTTGTCCTTTCGCATGCAACGCTTTCTCCAGTAGGTAGCTCATGTTTCTCTGTTCGGCAGCTGAACTTTGTCCAATATACTCGCTATATAAAAGTTAAAGTCTCATGGAAAAGATGGAATGAGCATTGGAATACCTTCCGGATAGTTCATGGAAATAACGATCTTCTTTTCATCGGATCCATTCAGCTCTCCGCATCGAATGCAACGTGACAGTACTGTTAGTTCAGATCCCAAAATCTCGGCGAGTTTCTGACACTCTTCGCCTACCACAGACTGAAAGGGAATACAAACTTTCCTACTTTTTTTCTAAGATTACAACAAATTCTGTTTACAAACTGATAGAGCAATGTAATTCTGTACTGATTAATGATGTAACTTTTATTCATAAAAAAACAGTATACTTCAAAAAAATAGGTTGTTATGCTC